GAACTTTAGGGTTGTTAAAATGGATCACTGTTCCTTGGTTTGTAAACATGTTCACCTATAAAGAAAATAATTATAATGATTACCAAATATTCCTTTAAATCAATGTTTTTATTAAACAAAAACTGGAATCTGGCTAACTGGTATAGGTCTTCCTTTTGAAGCACAGGTGACAACTTCCCTGGAATGAGTAAGGGAATAGCTTTCTGGCTTCACAACATCCTTGATCACTTGTTTAGTTAATAGGGCAGGAACACCTCCCAAGACACTCAGACATCTAAACATCTAATGGGGCATGAACTACTACAATGCCTACAGCAACTTTCCAGCCATACCAGGTGTTGACCCTTACCTCTTCAATACCAGAGATATTGTTTACCCCTAACTTCTTTAAGGAGAACTGCAGCTTTTTATCGTCTGCTGTGGCTGTTCTGTGAACCACCTTCTTCTTTCTACGAGCAGTTCCCTATAGGAATAAGAGGGCAAACAACACATTCACATAGCAGCAGATCTTTACAATTCTTTTCAGATCTTGGCTTCTGTACAAGACAGTTAACCAGATGGAACACGGTGGCACACTCCCAACAGATCTCTGAATTTGAAGCAGCCTGGTCACTTTACTGAGTTCTAGGCAAACCAGAGCAAAATGATTGAGACCTGGTTTCAAGTAAAACCAAATACATAATAAAAACTAAAGGTAGTTATCAAACCCACAAACTAAGAAGTTCAAAAGGCAGACTAAGACAGAAGTAAGGAATGACATAGGAATTCTCCATAAGCACCAGTTTGTAAGATGCAAAAATGTCTTTTCACAAGCCCTGACATTTTAAGTCTTTTTAAAAAATGACCAGACATGGCCATGTTTCAACCTAAGCCAAGCCTCATTTATACTTTTTGTTTTCAAAGAGTAAACAATAGCTTAATATTCACAGGTGAGATAGTATACAAAGAACCCATGAATCTGTATACAACTATCTATTACAGCCAAGAGTAGAAAGTTCTTAACCCACAGAGCTCTCCTCAGCCAAATACACATCTCTCAACTCCCTCCCTCTTCCCTGCATTGCTCACCTCCCTCCCTAGAACAAATTTCATCTCCCCATGAAAAGGGCTCTTCTCAATCACTCTAAGGATCTCCACAAGCATCTCTGTCTTTCCTAGATTACTTTTAATGGTTATTGTTAGTCATACTTTAAAATCCTGTCAAGCCATTGTCTAATCTGTGTCTTCCCTCAACTCTGCACTAACTATGGCATGCTTAAGTTACGTCCAACTTTATGCAGACTATGAATAGACTTTTATAATAAGAACAATACCACCAGGAAAAATTTAAGATTATAAAATACAGACAACTGCTTATAGATTCCATACATCTCACAAATGTAAGATTTGCTTAAAAGATTGTCAGTTTTTCCATTAGACACTGAAAAGAGCCTTGAATAAGTCACCTAAAAGCATGTGAATCTAACACTACTTTTCTCTACAGCAACATTCCTGCATCCTGTAAGTAAGGTTCTTAAAAGGTACAGAAAAAAAAGTTCCCATATTGTAACTGGAAACATTGTCTTAGCTTAACAAAGAAAACCTAGATACAAAGTATCCCTGTGAGACTAACTTGGAAGGCTTTCTGTTTCCCTGGACTGACGACTAAAAGGTAAAACCTAGTGGAGGAACAACGTTGCACACAAGCACACCACTCCAGAAACGAAAAAGAAATAAGCCCAGCTTTTCCTTAGCACTTGAAGCCTTAAAATAAAAAGGACAAGAAACATCTAAAGTTAATGTCATGAATGCAAACTGAAGACTACAATTACCAACAGAGGCAAACAGGATACACACTGCTGGTGCTCACTCTCCTAACTTAGGTTACTTAACCTACCTGCAACATTTGGTTATCTCTCAGAAGACTACTGAAGGTAAATGTTAAAGTCAGAACAGTCTAATAGGTAACAAACTTGTACTAGGGACGCTCCACCAAGATACCATGTTTCAACAAGCTGCCTCACCCTGTTAAACACCAGGAATGAGCTAACACAACCCTGACACTAAGGAGCTCTTCATCTGGAGTGGACTCAGCACCAACAGCAAGTTCAATAAAGAGTCTTTAAGAGCAGTATCCATTGGGAGAAACCATTGCATTCTCCCATTGTAGCATAATGACAAAGGCTGAACAACAGAAGACATGTGCTCAGGCAGTATTTTCCAACCTAACACTGTTCATGAATTTTAAAAGTACACCAACTAAAGAAGGTATCCTCAAACACCCTAAGTTCAGAAAGCATTGCAGAAAGGTCTTAATAATAAATAAATAAAAAGTACCTAATCATTAAGTAGAACAGGAAAAACCAACACTTTCAGTTAACTTGCCTTAAAAAAAAAGGGTGTGTGTGTGTGTGTGTGTGTGTGTGGGAACGCAGTTCGGGAGTTAAGGAGCTTGTCTAGCTCGTAAAAACTTGTGTTAGATCTCAGGATAGCTCAAAAAACAACAACAAAATAACCCCCCAATTTTGTAGAGGTCAAGGGTAGACGGTGCACAATGATTTGGCAGAGAACATACTTTTCCCACTATTAGTAACATTTCTGTTCTGTTTATACACTCCATAATCCTGAACCTCGTGCAAGTAAAGCAACGCTTTTAAGTGTTTTTTTCTCTACTCGATTACCCTCCTCACCCCAATATATAGCCTCCACGTCTCTTGGTATCGGTCTCGTTGCCCTTGGATTTGCTAGCTTTGCCAATTTCCCCTGCCAAGCAAAGTGACCAAAAACAACGTGAGAAAGGCAAAGGGAACATATTTTTAAAAAGGAATAAAGAAAAAGAAACTTACTTTCCCACCAATGCGCACTTGTGCCTGCAGTTTGGCAAGTTTTTCCTGGTTCATGATCGTTTCTTTCATCTACAAAGAGAGAAAATCCTCAGCACAGAACGGTCGGGCCACTCCAGCATTCCATGCTCGTTATCAGGAGAACATCCTCTTCAGGCTGAGGCCTGGATCCCAAATTCACCCACACAAAGCTCCAAAAGTCCCCTCCGAGCGAGCCCGGAGAGCACTAGCACTCTCGCCCCTCCCCCTTCCAGGCCCGGACTCGGGCTCAGCCCCACGGCGGGGCAGCATCCTCCACTCGCCGCCCCGGCCGGCCTCGGCCTAGCCAGGGCCTGCCCGGTCCGGCCACTTTCCGCAGGCCTCGCGGTACCTGAGGTTCCTGTCCTCGGGTTCCGCCGAGAGGTGAAGGAAGAGAGGGCGTCGCCTCGCCCCCGGGGCAGCCGCCCCTGGCTCGCCCTCGCCCCCGAGAGTCAGCCTGAGCGGGAGCGCCTGTCCGTCGCATCGCTCTCCTCTCCTCAGCCCTGTCCCCTCCCTGTCTCGCTCCTGCCGGGAAATGCCCGCCCCCGCTCCCGTTCTCCTCCCTCGCCGGCGTCCACAGCCTTTTTGTACCTTGTCGGAGTGGAAATGGGACCGCGCGGGGAACTAAGGTTCACGCTCAGGGGGTCTCGGGCAGACCAGCTAAGATAAGGCGCACACACGCGGGGACACAAGATGGCAGCTAGAGGGAGGCCGGAAGTAACACGACGCCACTTCCTCCAGAACTCAGGAAGCGGACTTGGCGTCGCTGCGCATGCGCGGCCGGGCCCCCGCGGCGAGGGTGCGGGTCCAGCGAGCGGCTAGTTCTTTCCTGTCGTCCGGCGGCGGGCTGGGAGCTGCGCGGGAGAGCTGGGAGCTGCGGACGCCGCCCGCGATCCTGGGAAAGACCACGGATAGATCAGTGAGGCTCCCTGTAGAGCTGTGGTTACGTCAGTCTGCCCTGTGTCCACCCTTAGGGGGTCCAGCATTGTCCAGTAGGCAGCAGTGTCTGCTCAATGCTGGGTGTAAATAAAAACTACCAAAACCAGCGAAGCTAACTAATACTGCTTTCCAAAATTAAGTGACTTGGGTGATGTTGAAATCCTGATTCAGAATTTCTAGAAAGCTTGTTCAAACCGCATTCCAGATCTTCACCCCTTAGCAATTCCTTCTATTCAAGTTTGAAACAGGATATCAAGATTTCTAACCCCTTAACTCTCTACACCACTACCATCCACTCCTTGATAGCGAATCTTCATGGATTTGACCATGAAGCATTCACAATGGAGCAAACTTTACCTTGAATAGTTCAATCAAAGATGAAGTTGAGCCCGTGTGCTTGGAGATAAAAACGTGGTTGTGAGTTAAAGTTTGCCGAACTCCAGCACAAATTGTGTTTCATTGTGGTTATCGGTTTTTTGTTGCATGATGTGATGGTTGTTTGAAAAGTGTTTCTATTAAATAGACTGAAACACAGCTATCCTCCAGCCTCGGAGCCCCTCTCTCTGTCCAGTGCTGGGGTTACAGTAGTCCAGCACCATTCCCAGACAGGTTTTAAGATAACCTTAAATACTACCTATATGAAGATTTAAAAAAAAAAGTTTAAATGAAAATTCTGTGTGCTCAAGCCCTTTTCCAATCTAAGCTATGAAGTGCTTTTGGATAGTCAAAAGTGAAAGTGTGTTAGAATTTTGAGAGAGAATACAATTTATCCAGAAAACTTGCAGAAATGAATACTCTAGCTAAAATCATTTTTTCCCTTGGAAACCTTTTTACACAAGAGTTTATTGCAACAGCGATGAAGCATTAAAAAAAAAAAGTCAGGAGAGACAACTAAGTTACTATGTAGAAAATTGTAACAGTTTCTTTTTTCTTGAAACAACAAAGAACAATGTTTCTTTTATCCCAACAAGTAAGTGTGTCAGTGCTTGTTGCCTAGGCTGTGAAGTACCTCAGCCTAAACATACTCCAAATAACTGACGTCAGGCAACAGAATTCAGTGCTACAGAAAATAAAATAAAATAAAATAAAACAAAACATATGACTGTATTACAGATGATATATAGAATGTAGAACTATTTCTCTTTAAAGAAATGTTTATAGAATATTTTACCCTTCATATTATACTGAAGATATGTGAAACTTCCTAACCATGATATTTTCTGAATTTTTACATAAAACTCTACAATATGTAACTGATACCTGCCTCATCTTTTAGATCTATATTTAAGAAATATGACTCGGTTTATTTTCTCCTGTTCTTTCATGGTATGGAAAACTTGTATGATCTTGAAAATCACCAAAGTTTTCCTAACTGTAAGGAAGACAATGTTTATTTTGACCCTTGATATACTAGGACTTCAGATTTTGCTAATATTTATATACCAGCCTTTTAAAATATAATCGAAGGGTTTTGTTCTTTAACTTTTCCTCTAGAAGTTACTGTTTGAATCTTCCTTCAGGACTACCATTTCCCACATACTCCCGCTGTCTACAGCAAATGTAGAGGATTGCCTCCCACCCTTTACTGCTCATGTAGAGCAGTGCAACAACTGCTTCCTTAGCACTCGAGATGGCCTCTGTCAACAGAACTTCGAGAAAAGGAGAACATGATTGCTCTCCCTGGTTCATAGTATATGTCTAAACAAAATATATGAGTCATTTTCATCTCTGACTGGAACTTGAGTTGGCTTCAGCAAGAGCCAGGTTGTTACTTGACATCAGGCTTAATCTTTTTTTTTTTTTTGAAGCAAATGTCAATTATTCTTCTTTTCCTTTTTTCTTTTCTTTTATCTTCTCTTTTTTTATTGGATATTTTATTTGTTTACATTTCAAATGTTATGCCCTTTCCTGGTTTTCCTTTTGCAAACCCCCTATCCTATCCTCCCCTTACCCTGCTTCTATGAGGGTTCTCCCTCACCCACCCACCCACTCTCACCTCACCACCCTAGCATTCCTCTACATTGGGGCATCAAGCCTTCTCAGGACTGAGGGCCTCCCCTCCGATTGATGGCAGATAAGGCCCCTTCAGCTCCTTCAGTCCTTCCTGTAACTCCTCCATTGGGGTCCCTGTGCTCAGTCCGATGGTTGACTGCGAGTGTCTAGCATCTGCACCTGTATTGGTCAGGATCTGGCAGAGGCTCTCAGGAGACAGCTGTATCAGGCTCCTGTCAGCAAGCACTTCCTGGTGTCAGCAATAGTGTCTGGGTTTGGTGTCTGCATGTGGGATGGATCCTCAGGTGGGGCAGTCTCTGGATGGCCATTCTTTCAGTCTCTGCTCCACTCTTTATCCCTGTATTTTCTTTAGACAGGAACAATTCTGGATTAAAATTTTGGAGATGGGTAGGTGGCCCCATCCCTCAACCTGGGAGCCATGCCTAACCTTTGGATATGGTCTCAACAGGTTCTCCCTCCCTTTTGTGGGGTATTGCAGCTAATGCCATCCCTGTGGGGTCCTGGAAGACTCTTGCTTTCCTGGCATCTGGGACTTTCTGGTTGCTACCCCCAAGTTCCCAATCTCTCATTCCTACACATCTCTGTTCAATTTCCTGAGATCTCCTCCATCTCCTCTCATAACTGATTCTGCCCCTCTTTCCCCCTCCCTCTCCTCTCTTCCTCCCAAGTCCATCCTACTCTTTACTTCCCTTTATTAATTGTTCTCCCTTCTAAGTAGAACTGAAGCATCCACTCTTTGGTCTTCCTTCCTCTTGAACTTCATGTGGTCCGTGAGTTGTATCATGGGTATTCCACACTCTGCCTAATATCCTCTTATCAATGAGTACATACCATGTGTGTTCATTTGTGATTGGGTTACCTCACTCAGGATGATGTTTTCAAGTTCCATCCATTTGCCTGCAAATTTCATGAAATCATTGTTTTTAATAGCTAAGTAGTATTCCATTGAGTAAATGTACCACATTTTCTGTATCCATTCCTCTGTTGAGGGACATCTGGGTTGTTTCCAGCTTCTGGCTATTATAGACATAGCTTCTATGAATATAGTGGAGCATGTGTCCTTATTACATGTTGGAACATCTTCTGGGTACATGCCCAGGAGTGTTATAGCTGGGTCCTCAGGTAGTACTATGTCCAATTTTCTGAGGAACCATCAGACTGATTTCCAGAGTGGTTGTACCAGCTTGCAATCCTGTCAGCAATGGAGGAGTGTTCCTCTTTTTCCACATCCTTGCCAGCATCTGCTGTCACCTGAGTTTTTGATCTTAGCCATTCTGACTGGTGTGAGGTGGAACCTCAGGGTTGCTTTGATTTGCATTTCCCTGATGACTAAGGATGTTGAATATTTTTTTAGGTGCTTCTTGGCCATTCAAGTTTCCTCAGTTGAGGAAACTCTATTTAGCTCTGTTCCCCATTTTAAAAATAGGGTTATTTGGTTCTCTGGAGTCTTACTTCTTGAGTTATTTGTATATATGAGATATTAGCCCTCTATTGGATGTACGATTGGTAAAGATCTTTCAGGCCTAATTCTTAAGGGAAATTATGACTCACAAGGAGTTTTGAGAAATGACTGAAGGTGAATATTTCCAGGATTTTATTTAATGTGTGTGTGTGTGTGTGTGTGTGTGTGTGTGTGTGTAAAGGGCAGAAGACAACTATTAGGAGTTGAATTTCTTTCACTATGGTCCCAGAGATTGAACTGGGGCCATCAGGCTTGAGTGGCAAGAGCATTTCTCCTGAGCCATCTCACAGGCAGGTTCCTGTGCTTTTAGTTGTCAGAGAACCACAGTGGACACACTATCCACTAAACTTCCTTGCGTTCTTCTTCCAGTATCTCTGTCTTGGCCCAAGTTGATATCTATATGTTAGCTTGTCAGGTCTCTGGAAATCTTGCTGAGTTACTTTACTCCATTAATTTATATCTCTTTCATCTCTTTGCCACAGAAACAATGTTTTTGTTTGTTTGTTCTTTCTCCAAATTTGCCATTTGATGTCAGGTAGTATATAGTGGAACCATCTTGGACCTGCCAGCAATAAAAATAATGATACAGAGGTTTTTTAATATTTTAAAGCTTAGGCCTTTTGCTGGGCAGTCTCCCAACTACTCTAAATCTAACCGGACTATACCATGCTGGGAACTCTAACTCTCTACTTCACTCTGGCCCAACCATTGACCTCTGTCCATAGTGTATCTCCCTCCTCTCTTGGCAGCACCAGTGCTGCCACAGTTCCAAGCTTGGGTATAGGCCTGGGGGATTAAAGGAAGACACAGACTCAGGTCATTCGTTATGAGAGAATGCCAAAGCTTTTACTGAGCAGGTTCAGTATATACACCAAACTGGGTGTGGGGGCACAAACAAGAACTCAACTGGCGGGCAATAGTTTATATAGTGGAAAGTCCCTGCCTGGGGCATCACACCTTCAACAGGATGTTTTGTTCTTAGAAAAACTGCAGAATGTTACTTGGTAGACAGCAGCACACGGAAAGTCTCAGCCAGGGCATGGCAGCCCTTCAGGGTCCTACAGGTCCTCTATTTTTATTTTATAGGTGAATAGTGTCTGTCTTAGGCCACCTTCCATCAATACCAATTAGTCGTCATTGGGAATCCCTGCCAGCCTCAGGCCCCCGGTCTTAGGTAAGGACTGCAAAGGAGTTGCTCTACATTAACTAACTATTTTCAGTAAAGGCTGAGACAAACCTGGGCAGTAGGGTTCTCTCGTGCCACTGACATGGGCACCAGCCTAGTAATTGGCTAGGACTGGGTCTCCTGA